GGCTTCGAACCACAATCCTCCTGATCTCTGCCTCCTGAGTAACTAGGATCAGAGACGTAAGCCACCAGCAACCAGCCAGTTTTTTTAAGTGGGCAAAAGATTTGGATACTTCAAAAAAGATATACAGATGACAACAGCACTTGCAAGCTATTCAACATCATTAGTCTTTTGTAAATGGAAAATAAAACCATGAGATAGTTACTATACACATTTACTAGAAAGATTTATACAGTCACTCACTGTGTAACACTCAGGATAGATTTTGAGAAATGTGCCCCTTAGGTGATTTTGTCATTGTGAGCTTCACAGAGTGTACCTTCACAAACCTGCTGCTCACTCACCTAGGCCATGTGGATTGCTATGTTGCTGTCAGGCTACAAAGCATGTCACTGTGAATACTGTGTGCAACTGTAACAGAATGCTGTTTACATAGCTGAGCACAGGAAAAAGTACAGTAAAATACTGTGCAGAAGATTTAGATCTGTTTGGGTACTTCCCATGAATGTAGATGCAGGATGGCAGTTGTGTGGGCAGTCAGTAAGTGATGAGTGAAAACGATAGGCTAGGACATGACTATACGCTGCTTTGGACTTTATGAACACTGCACACTTAGGACTACATAAAATTTATACATAAAGAGCCTTAGCTTTCTGCATCGTTTTTACTTAACATACTTTCCCCTTTAGAGATGGAGTTTCATTATATGACCCAGGAATGCTCCTGCTTCAGCTTTCCAAGCGGCTGGGACTGTGTGCAGCACTGTGACCAGCTCTAACATTTTAATTAAAAAACACCTTTTGAGGCCTGGAGTCGTGGTTCAAGCAGTAGAGTGCCAGCCTAGCAAGCACAAGGCCTTGAGTGCAACCCAAATATTGCTAAAAACCCAAAAACAATGATGAAAATACTTTTTGACTCTTTTGTAATATTTAGCTTAAAACACAATGTAGAGCTATACAAACCACATAAAAGCTCATAAGCTTATTTCCAATTTTTACTTTTTAAACTTTTTGGTTAAAAACTTAAGATTCTAGAACAGAAGGCAAAGCCCTGAGTTCAAACTCTAGTACTGCCAAAACCCACAAACAAACAATAATAAAAACTAAGAGAACTAGGTACATAATGCAAGGAGGTGAGATATGCACTAACAACACCACACATACACCCCCTCCCTCCCCCCCACACACAATACAAGACCCCCAAAACCTATGCAGAATCATCCATGTCACTGATGTCACTGTCCTCTACCTCCACACTTTGTCTCACTGGAAGGAGCTGTCTCCTATGATGACAGCGAGGGACCTGCCTGGATGCTTCTTTTTTTTTTTTTCTTTTATCATTTTTGGGCAGTTCAGGGGTTTGAACTCAGGGCCTCACTCTGGCTAGGCAGGAGCTCTAGCTCTTGGACCACTCCACCAGCTTTTTTTGTGTTGGGTATTTTTTACTTATTTATTTTGTTTTGGCTTTTTTTTTCTTTCTCTCAGCTATACTACTACTGAGTGTATGAAACTGGTGTGTCAAACCTGCACTCCATGTTTTCTGCACCACTATCTACAATACCCAAACATAGAATCAACTGAGGTACCCTCTGCTGGATGAATGGATTTTAAAAAGGTGATAATGTTAGGTCATAAGAGAATGAAATCTTTCACTGGTGGCAAGATGGATGAAATTAGAGGACATTATGCTAAGTGAAATAATTCAGGTACAAAAAGACAACCACTACATCTTCTCATTCATTTCTGGAAACTGAAAAAGTTTACTTCAGAGGTAGAGAGTAGAGTACCGTCATTAGAAGACAGAAAGGGGAGGAAGGAGGAGAGGAGGAGCAAGGCTGGATAGGAGGTATCAAAATGTAGTCAGAAGGGCTGAAGGAGTGGTTCAAGTGGCAGAGCACTTGCCCAGCAAGCATGAGACAATCTTGAGTTCAATGCCAGTATAACCAACCAAACAAAAATTTTAAGGGCTAGGTATGGTAGCTCACACCTGTAATTCTGTCTATTTGGGAAATGGAAATAGGAAGATTACAGTCGAGGCTAGCCTGGGCAAAAAGTTACCAAGAAAACCAGCTGGATATGGTGGTGCATGTCCATAATTTTAGCTACATGAGAGGCAGGAGTAGGAGGATCATGGTCCAAAGCTGGTTAGCATGAGACCCTATCTGAAAATAACTAAAGCAAAGAGGGTTGGGATTATGGCTAGGCAAGGACCTGAGTTCAAACCCCAGTAACTACACACACACACACACACACACACACACACACACACACACACACACACACACACACACACTTTTTTAAAAGAAGCTGGGCATGGTGGTACATGACTATAATCCCAGCTACTCAAGAGGCTGAGGAGGATCAAAAATTCAAGGCCACCCTGAGTAACTTAGTTAAACCCTGTTTTGAAATAAAAATAAAAAGCACTAGAGAGTAGCTCAGTGGTAATGCTTGGCTAGTAAGCATGAGGCCCTGCATTCAATGTCCAGTACCACACAAAACAAAATCACAATTAATAAAATAAAATTATAACCTGTGGTACATATATATCACGGAATACTATGCAGCAACAAAACGACCAATGTATACATCAACTTAGATGAATCTCCAGGGAATTAATTACTCTGAGCAGAAAAAGCCAGCCTCGAAAGATTACTGAATGACTCCATTCACTTAACATTTTCTGAAATGACAAAATGTCAGAAATGGAAGACAGAGCTGGAGGTTTGGCTCAAGTGGTAGAATGCCTGAGCAGCAAGCACGAAGCCCTGAGTTCAAACCCCAGTACCACATGGGCACTGGTGGCCTACACCTGTAATCCTAGCACTCAGGAGGCAGAGATCAGAAGGTCTGTGGTTTGCAAGCAGTCCAGGTAAATAGTTTACAAGACCTTGAAAAACCCATCACAAAAAAGGGCTGGTGGAGTGGCTCAAGATGAAGGCCCTGAGTTCAAATCTCAGTACCGCAAAAAAAAAAAAAAAAGAGAGAGAGAGAACGAGAGAAAGAAAGAAAGAAAAAGAAATGTAAGGCAGCATGGTGGTTGCCAGAGGTTAGGGACGGAGGAGAGTGTGATTATAAAAGGCAACGTGAAGGCCCCTATCAGGTTGGGACTGTCTAGCATCTTAATTCAATTGGTGATTCACAAACCTCACAGATGAGAGAAAGTGAAAATGGGAAATCTGAGTAAGACAAGAGGCTGATTCAATGTCGGTGTCTAGACTGTGATATTAAGATATGGCTTTATAGCTGGGCGCCAGTGGCTCACACCTGTAATCCTAGCTACTCAGGAGGCAGAGATCAGGAGGATCACGGTTCGAAGCCAGCCTGGACAAATAGTTCCTTGAGACCCAATCTCAAAAATACCCATCACAAAAAAGGGCTGGTGGAGTGGATGAAGATAAAGGCCCCAAGTTCAAATCTCAGTACTCTCACCAAAAAAAAAAAAAGGTATGGCTTCACAAAATATTACCACTATGGGGACTGGGGATATAGCTCAGTGACAGAGAGCTTGTTTAATTTGTATAAGGCCCTGAATTCAATCCCCAGTCGTTCCCCTCCACCCCCAATCAAAAAAAAAAAAAAAAAAAAACCCACTACAACTATGGCAAAGAAGGCAAAGGAGGAGGAGAGTGTGATATAAAAGGCAACTGAAGGCCCTATCAGGTTGGGACTGTCTAGCATCTTAATTCATATTTGGTGATTCACAAACCTCACAGATGAGAAAAGTGAAAGGGAAACTGAGTAAGCAAGAGGCTGATCAATGTCGGTTAGACTGTGATATAAGATATGCTTTATAGCTGGGCGCCATGCCACACCTGTAATCCTAGCTACTCAGGAGCAGAGATAGAGGATCACGGTTCGAAGCCAGCCTGGACAAAATTCCTTGAGCCCAATCTCAAAAATACCCATCACAAAAAAGGGCTGGTGGAGTGGATGAAGATAAAGGCCCCAAGTTCAAATCTCAGTACTCTCACCAAAAAAAAAAAAAGGTATGGCTTCACAAAATATTACCACTATGGGGACTGGGGATATAGCTCAGTGACAGAGAGCTTGTTTAATTTGTATAAGCTGAATTCAATCCCAGTCGTTCCCCACACACCCAAAAAAAAAAAAAAAAAAAAAACCCACTACAACTATGGCAAAGAAGGCAAAGGAGATTATTTCTTTTCTTTGCTTTGAGACAGGGTCTCACTATGTTCCCCAGGATGACTTTGAACTTGTGATCCAACTGCCTCAGCCTCAGGGGTACAGGGATTATAGGCAAAGTATATCATTTCTTACAATTATATGGAATCTACAATTACCTCTGTTACCACAGGTAATGGATCAATTCAATACTTCTTAATTTAGTGCATTAAAATATATTTTACCTGGACACAATATAACATTGTCACCAATAGCAATAGCCAGATGTAGTAAACTAGAAACTATAAAATATTGGAGAAAGAGAATTCAGGTATGACTGGGCCCAAAAGTCACCACTGGATTTAAAAACCAGAGACTGGCCGGATATGGTGGACATGCCTATAATCCCAGGCAGAGGTAACAGGATCGTGGTCCAAGGCCAGCCCAGACAAAATGAGGAGACCCTATCTGAAAAACAAATTAAAAGCAAAAGGACTGAGGGCCTGGCTTAAATGGTAGAGCACTTGCTTAGCAAGGACAAGACCCTAAGTTCAGTCCCCAATACCACCAAAAAAATAACAATAATAAGATATTAAATATAGAATCTGTCTATCCATCCTCCACCTGAACAAAGCTGAACACAAAGAATGTAACGTACCATCAGCAACAAAAAGGCATGGTATCTATTCTTCTTTGTTTTTTGCTTTTGGTACTGGGGTTTGAACTCCAGGACTCACACATGCTAGGCAAGCACACTTATCACTTGAACCCCAGCATGATGTCTAAAACTGCAACTAGACAGATTGTCTTTTTCTATTGCTCAAACTCAAGTTAAAAAACAAAACAAAACAATAAACAACATCTATAGGAAATGCTTACATGAAGTTACAAGGTGATGCTCCTAAAAAGGGGACTTCAAATGTCTCAACTACTTGTGCACTTGCTCAGAGAACAGTGACAGGCCAAGGCCTAGTTGCTGCTAGTAACCGAAGGGCAACCACCTGGGAAATGAGGAGATGGACAGTTTATAAACTCATTTCTAATTTTACAATCTACATATGATTACAGGCTACTATGTAAAAATAAGTTGATGCATTCATAATTACTACTAACAAACTCAGAAGCAACTAAAAAGTCTTTCAAAAATGAACAGATAGTTCGTGGCTCACGCCTATAATCCTAGCTGCTTGGGAGGCTGAGATCAGGAGGATGTGGTTCAAGGCCAGCCTAGACAAAGAAAGTTAGTGAGACCCCATCTCAATGGCATAGTGGCATGTGCCTGTCATCCCAAGCAATGCAGGAAACTGAGACTGGAAGGATTGCAGTTCCAGGCCAGTTCAGGCAAAAAAGTCTGCAAGATTCCCATCTCAATGGAAAAAAACTGGGTGTGGTTGGCACATACCTGTCATCCCAGCAACAGTAGAAAGTGTAAAACAGGAAATCATGGTCCAGGTCAGCCGGGACAAAAGGCAAGCCCCTACCCCTAAGATAACCAGAGGAAAAAGGGCTGGAATTCAAATTCCAGTACTGCAAACAATGAATAAACACTGTTGGTCCATCCAATAATGGTATATTATTTAATGCTAAAAAGAAATGAACTACCAATCCATGAAAAGCCATGGAGGGATCATAAATGTATATTTAAGGAGCTAATATGAAAAGACTGCAGACTGTTTGATCCCAACTCCAGGACATTCTAGAAAAAGCATAAAGACAGAAGAACCATGTTTGCTAGTGGGGAGGGGAGAGCAATGGACAAGTAGAGCTGAAGACAGAGGATTTTCAGGGTAGTGAAACTATACTGCATGCTGCTATAATGGGGAACATTTGTCCAAACCCACAGAATGCTCACTAAGAGTAAACCCTAAGGTAAACTATGGAGCTTAGTTAATAATAATGTATCAATATTGGTTTATAAACTATAGCAAGAAAACACATTAATGCAAGATGTTAGTAATGAGGGCAGTACTCTGTACGTTCCCAATTTTTCTGTAATTTTAAAACTGCTCTAAAGAAGAATAGCAGCAATTTTAAAAATGAGTTTTGGTATCCTCCAAACTGAAGGCTATAACTTCAGCAAAACTGAACAGGTTCTAAAGACAGATCTCAGAATCACTACCTGAGCAGTAAAGCATAAAATAAGTGGATGAGAATAACAACACAATGATATGGTTGACAGCCAAGGCACAAAGATAAAACAAGGAAGTACCTTTTCTTCATTGGCCAGGAGTGGTGGTATAGGCCCATAATTCTAGTACTAGCAAGAGGACCTGAGTTCAAGGTTAGTCTGAGCTGTACAGTAAGAACCCCATCTCAAAAAAAGAGAGAGAAAGACCAGAACAGGACTAAGGATATAGTTCAGTGGTAGAGCACTTGCCCTAGCATGAGATAGGCCCTGGGTTCAATACCTGGTACAACAGAAAAAAAAAAAAGAGCAAGACAAAGAAAACAGAAAATATAGTATAGTGGAAGAAAACAGGCTCCATCAAGTACCAAGTTTACATTAAATACACTGTCAACACTGAGATCTCCCAACACACTAAAAAGGTCCCGAAGTCTAAGGGAAAAATATTTTGAGCTTAGAATTCTATTACTAACCAAGTGTGAGGACAAAGGCAAGAGCTCCCGAAAAGTACTGCCATGAATTTCATATAAAACCATCATCTGAGGAAGTGCTTTAACAAAACAAAGAAGGAAAGCAAACTAAGAAAAACAAATATGATAGAGCAAGAGTGGTGGCATCTGGATCTACAGAACACAGGAAGCCAACAAGAGCCACGCTACACTTGAGTGGCAGCCAGTGGGGCCACATTTCATTCTTCGTGGCCTAATGACAACATGTAATGCAAGTGCTATAAATAATAGGTCATTCTCAACCAAGAAGAGTATAGACCTGGCCTCTAGAGTGCAATTCCACCACTGGGAGTCAGTTCCTGGACTAACAGACTAAAGATTTTCAAAATCTAAGAATTAACATTTTTCTTCCTTGCTTCCCAGTCTCTCCCTCCCTCCCTCCTTTTATTCTTCATTTTTTTTTTTTTTTGAGACAGGGTCTTGATATGCACCCTAGGCTGGTCTGAAACTCGCAATCCTCCTGCTTCAGCCCCCCAAAGTGTTGGGATCACAGGCATGGACCACCATACCTGACTAGAATTAACTTTTTAGATCCAATAAATTGCCAATCTGTAGGGGTCAGGGCTCCCTTGCTCTCTCTTGACAGACTGTGACAGCTGGGTAAAAACTAAGCTTACCACCCACCCCCCAAATCTCACAAGGCAGTATTATGAACACCCATATTATGCAAGTCTGAAGCATGAAGACATGAAGTTATTTGTCCAAGTCAGTCTTTGAATCACACCCAAGGGCAAGACCTCTTGGCCTGACTAATCGTGTCCCTAAGACTTAAAGGGGTGAGGAGTGTGTTACTTAGAGCAGAAAATATGAAGAGTTTTATTGATATCTTTCAAAGAGATATGGGCTTGAATCAATATGTAGGAATTCTAAGCCCAGTTCTGAAAGCTCCAAGTTGTTGGACCTGAGGCAAGGCTCTGCAGCACTGGGTCTTCCCTCACCTAAGCTTGGAAAACAAGTATTCTGATTCCAAGGGCTGAGCGAGCACACAGCCAAGCTCAACCAGAAGCAGGGGTCCATCTTTCTAGATGTACACGACGTAGCAGAGTCTAGTCAATTCTGCATTGCTGAGTATTTTATTCATTTAACTCATAACAGAAGGACCAAAGCACTAAGTTTAAGTACTCTTAACGTAATTGCCTTAGTCTTTAGGAACTGTTACAGAAGATTCAAATTGATAAATTATTTTTTGCATTTTCCATTACTCAGTGCCTACTATAAATAATTGATTTCTAGACCCCATCCACAGAAAAATAAAGTTAATACTTTTATAAAAGTAACTGACTATATCTAAGACATCTATTTAATTTTACTAAAATTCTCAATTTAAATTTTCACCAGAAGTAGAAAAGTTGAGTATGCCAGACATCAGATATTACTGAATGTCAAAATTTCCTAGTCTCAAAAAGAACCATACTAAGAAAAATCAGTACATAAATGACTTAATTACTAGATAACCTGATCATTTTGTTTTTATTTTTATTTTTTGAGTGGGACAGGGCTTTGCATTTGCAAAGCAGGTGCTCTAAATGAACAGTATATGGTGGAAATGTTATGTATCATTTCATGAAATGGAAAAATGAAACCTGCTGAAACTATACTACGAATGAGGGGTTATAAGTCTAATTGGAATTGTCACTATGATTCCCCCCCCCGTATAATAAATATATCCTAATAAAAATTTATTATAAAAAAATGAGGAGAGGTGGGATAAAGGAGAATGATGGAGGGGGTGAATTTAACTAAGATATATTGTAAGTACTTTTCTAAATATCACAATGTACCCCTAGTACAATAACAATATGATAAAAATTTTTTAAAAATAAGTTATAAAAAAACAAACAAAACCAAAGCAAGCGCTCTATTGCTTGAGCCACATCCCCAGTCCATTTTCCTCTGGTTATTTATTTATTTGGCAGTACTGGCATTTGAACTCAGAGCTTCACACTTGCTAGGCAGGCGCTCTACCACTTGAGCCACTCCACCAGCCCTTTTTTGTGTTGAGTATTTTCGAGATAGAGTCTTGTGAACTATTTGCCCAGGCTGGCTTTGAATTTCCATCCTCCCTGATCTTGTCTCCTGAGTAGCCCAGTGCCCTGTCATTTTGTTTCATTCACTCAACACAGACTAAAAACTTTTAAAACCTTAGAATTAATTTTTCTTCCTTCCTTGCTTCCTTTCTTCCTCCCTTCTTTCATTTTTTTGAGATAGGGCCTTGCTATGCAGTCTAGGCTGGCCTCAAACTTACATATCTCCCTGTCTCAGCTTCCCAAGTGATGGGATTACAGGCATGAACCACCATGCTTGACTAGAGTTAACTTTCTAATTTGAATAAATTGCCAATGACCATATCTAAACTTTAAATATTGTATTTATTTAGTAAAAAGCATATCTCTTCAAACCCAGACATTTAAAAAACTAACTTATATATCCCGAGGCAGCTTTCTGTTTCTTAACTCAAGAATCTGATATTTGAGTCAACAGTGCTGCAATGAACTCAGGGACAAAGGGTTTCTAGAAGAAAATCCAGCTAGCAAGATTTGAATTACAGGAAGGCAGTCAGAAATGGAAGCCAGGGGTAACAGCATGGGAACAGGTATCAAATCCACTGAAACTGCAACTGAAGGATTGTAGGAGACAAATCAGAATACAAACATTACAAATTTCAAATGATGACAGTCAGAAGGGGTAAGAGATGGGAAAAGCATGAAGTTCCCATGTCTTCCAGCAGGGGGTGAGCAATACTGTCTAAAATCAGACCCTAGAGCTGAGGACTTGCTGTGTTTGGATGGAGGCTTGCTTATGGTGAGGGAGTAGCAATTAAAGTAGTTCATAGAAGAAAACAAATGTCTTTAATTAAAAAACTATTTGATTTCTTTGGAAGGTAAGTATCTGGTAATCTGGTTATTTCTGGAAACAACAAGGAAGTACTAGGGCCAAAGATTAAAAGATTTATTCTTGTCATGCTGGGGATAGGACCTAGGATCTTATGCATGCTCAGCATGCACTCTACCACTGAACTACATCCTCAGCCTCACTGCTTGATATTCTGATAGTGTTCTTCTCTATGCTTTTCTGTGTTGTCTGAACTTTTTTATACATTTCTGTATTGTATTTATAAAAACTATAAGGTCTAAGAAAACAAGCAACCACAGACCCCTCTACCAAGGCCTTCCCCAATGTATGTCTGCTCTTCCCATAAAGCTACTGTTCACAAGTTACTTCCAGCCATGTTTATAAAGATCTCCAAGGATCTTTAAGGAGTTTATCGGCAGCAGCTAACACATAACTGAGACATCCTGATTAAGCACCTGTCATGTACCTGCAGAGTACTGGGCTGTGAGGGATCCTTAGCTCATCCTGAGAATCCCGGCTTCTCTAGCCAGTAACTCTTTTAACCCCAGATCTTGCAAACCAAAACTCATCCCCATGTGCTGACTTGCACATTCCATTCTCCAACAGTCAACTGCAGTGCTCCTTCTTAGAGCTTGAAAGAAAACTTTTTAACTTGAAGTCTG